TGCCTACAGTGGAAGTGCAGAGTCTTAGCCACTGGACTGCCAGGCAAGTCCCTGGGAGGTTTTAACATCATCTTGATTTTGTCTGGAACTAGATACAGAAATTTCTCCAATGGTGCAGAGTTTTACAACAGGAATTGGATATAACAATAAAATACTAATATAAAAATAAGATATAATAAAAAGAAAATCTAATATTTACTGAGCATTTACTTTGTGCTAGACCTGTCTGTGCTAATAAGTACTATCAATATAACACTTAATATAATATTTTGCTTAATTACCTATAAGGTAGACTACAAGGATTAATACTGAATGTTAATTTTCAGTAACAGAACTACAACATGGTATTACAGAAAGAAAACTAACCCAGAACTAACACCATAATTTGCTCTATTTAACAGATAATAACAAAGGGTGATAAAGGTGGTAAGAAGTGCTTATAATGACCATTTCAGTTGAGCTGAAAAGGTGTTATCTTTTGAATAAAAGCTAGATACAGGTGTGTGTGTATATATATATCACTGAGTTTACCCAGTGATTTCAGTTTTATAGCTAATTATAAAGCTTTCTGGGGAGGAAAGTTCTTGCATGAAAATAAACACACATTCTTGATCCCAAATTACTTAATTTCCATTGAAAAAATGATAAATAACTTTTAATAACTTCGTCTTTATTAGGGATGCAATTATCTCATCACAGTAGAACTCACTCTGGATTTTTTGGGAAGCTTTGGGTTATTAAAATTCTGTCTTCCACCTGCTCTCCTGTGATGCGCTTCTAAGTTTCATGCCGGGAAGACCCACCTGTCTCCTTCATGGGTATACATTGAGAACACAGCTGAGGGCATGTTTCATAGAAGCACTATGAATGAATGATGTGCTAATAAAACAAACATGGTAGAGCGGGGAGCAGGATTCCATTGGCTCTAGTGTTTTCATGGTTTGCTGCCAAACTATAAAGCGAGGGACTGAAGTGTGAGTTAATATTTAAGCATCCCTAAGATAATTCCATCAGCTGTCATGCAGGATACACTGGTGTAACTGGTGTTCATCACGTGCGGCCTCAAACGCTCTGAGTGTTCTTTATTCTTTCTCTTTACTGTGATTTTGTATGGAGCCCTCCACCCTCATCAGGTGTATAACAGTACACTTGAAATAGCATTTTACGAAGCCTCCATCTCCTATAATGAAGATGTACCCAAATGAATCCTTCCATCAGATAAAATTAATGAAACCCTCCTCAAAGTCCTCCAGGGTGTGCTGTCTAGGAGGGTCAACTGAGTTCATCTCCATCAGGCAATGGAAAGGATACAGTACCGTGCCCTGCCAAAGACTGAAGGTGTCATGATTATCTGAGATCCCCAAGTTTCTGAGGAGAAATACAATTTCACTGAGGAACCTCTGTGCCTTCAAAGGCAGTAAACATCTCTTACAGCTGAAGCACTATCATTCCCTTGGCTGCTGCTGCTACCGCTAAGTCACTTCAGTCATGTCCGACTCTGTGCAACCCCATAGAGCCCACCAGGCTCCCCCGTCCCTGGGATTCTCCAGGCAAGAACACTGGAGTGGGTTGCCATTTCCTTCTCCAATGCATGAAAGTGGAGTCACTCAAACATGTCCGACCCTCAATGATCCCATGGACCGCAGCCCACCAGGCTGCCAGGCCCCTCTGTCCATGGGATTTTCCAGGCAAGAGTACTGGGGTGGGGTGCCATTGCCTTCTCCAATTTCCTTGGCATGAAGCTGCCAAAAACCATATTCTAGGAAGTTCAGCCTAGCAGGAAGTAGCTGAAAAAAATGACATAAAGAAAACCACTTTCTGAAGAACCAGCTCCTGACATTCCTTAATTTTTGTTTGCACTGGAGTTAGCTAAACTGCAAAGTCTGAGGGCAGGGTCCCCAAGACTGTCCTCACTTCTGGTATCAACTGCAAGTTCAAGGAGGTTCCCAAACTACCCTAAGCTTTGAAAATTCAATACAAGGACTCACAGAACTCACTAAAGCTATTAAACTCAGAACTATGGCTCACTATGGGAAATGCTACAGAGAATCAGCCAAAGGAAGAGAAACACAGGACAAAGTTTGAGAGGGTTTCAATGCAATGTTCTCACCGTCCACAGGCACGACCCTCCTGGTATCAGTGTATGTGACAAATGCAGCGCAGCACCAACTAGAGATGCTCACCCCATCTCGGTGCCCAGAGTTTCACCGGGGCCTTGTCACATAAGCTGGCCTGACTGTTCATGTGGCTGACTTCAGTCTTGGGCACTTGGCTATTACCACATGGCCCAAGGGACCCGTTATGAATAAGAAGACAATGTTTCACTTGGGAAATTCCAAGGGTTTAGAGGTTACTCCCAGAAGCTGAGTACAAGGGCCACAGTTTGCTTTGGGAAACGTTAAACTGTCTACTACATCGGATGACAGTAGGAGCTAATCAAGAACACCACCATCTAAAGATAAAAGAGGATGATGCTGTTGAGGCTCTGCTTAAAACCAAGTCCACCCTACAGATCCACGCCATCATGGAGAAGGTCAGTCGTCATGACTTACCTCTATGCTCCATACAGTCTCTCATTCTGCAGTAGGCCAGTACAGGCCAAACTATATGCCTTCCAGGGCCATGACATGGCAGCAGGGTGTGGCTTCAGAGAAGAGATATTCTTTTCATCTAAAATCAGACTTGTTTGTGAAATTCAGCTTCCACCAATTTTCTTTCCGACACACTAAGTTTATATTTCTGTTTCTCCTATATTCCTTCTATCCAAGTGTTTGCTGTGGGCTGAAATGCATCTCCCTCAAAATTTGTATGTTGAAATCCTAATGCCTGGTGCTTCAGACAGTGAATTAGGACAGAGCATTTTTTAAAGAGGTAAGTTGAAATGAAATCATCAGGGTAGACCCTAATCCAATGTGATTTATAAGAGAAGGAGATGAGGACACAGATGGAGAGAGGGAAGACCATGGAAAGAGAGTCACGTGTGAGCCAAGAAGAAAAGTCCCTGGAGAAACCAACCCTGCTCACACCTTGACTCTGAACTTCCAGCCTCCCCGACTGTGAGAAAATAAACTTCTGTTATTTAAGCCACTCAGTCTGTGGCAGCCCTAGCAAACCCGTACACCAATTAATCACTAATTCACGTCTAATCTCAGCGACTTTTGCATCCATCTCTTTTCTTTCACTTGCAGAGACTTCTCATCTGGTATTTCTGGCTGTTTATTTTTCTTTTCCAGCCCTCCAATCAAACCTCACATTAACTGTCAGTTTATTACTACTAAAGGAGCACAGAAATCAGGGTACTCACCTGGCCAAACACCTTGCAATGTGTGTGTAACCTGTGTGTGTGTGTGCTCAATCATATCTGACTCTTTGTAACCCCACAGGCCAGGCTCCTCTGTCCATGAGATTTCTCAATCAAGAATACTGGAGTGAGTTGCCATTTCCTCCTCCGGGGGATCTTCCTGACCCAGGGACTGAACTTGCGTCTCTTGAGTCTCCTGCCTTGGCAGGTGGATGCACTACCGCTGCACCACCTGAAGACTATGACTTCTGGCTAAATGAAGATCAACTTCTTAGTTCCGCAGGTAATGAAAGCCCCTACTAACCTTTCCACTTTACCTTGCACTAGTCTCTCTGCAACAAACCACTGATCTTAACCAGTTTGTCACCCACCAACTCCTGGGCATGGTTTTCCTTTTGAACACCTTTCCTTCCTGACTACTCGATACTCTTCTTCAAGTCTCAACTAAAATGCCATCTTCTTTATGACTAAATAGATCTTTCTGGTCAGAATGGATCTCCTTTGATTTATCTAAAATTTTACTTATTTGTACAGCTTCAATCTTACAAAGAAGAAAGACCCGGGGTGCCAAGTCAAAGGTTCTCAAAGTACAGAGACAAAAGGTTTAAAAAACACTGCCTTACCATTCGTGGGAAAGATAAGAACCTAACTTTAAGAATACATATGGAGAGTGTCTTTGAAAATCAAATCTATCCAATTCCATATCTAAATTCTGAAGATAGCACATTAACCTTTAAGAGTGAGATTTATGGCTCATTTTTAGAAGGTCTTTCCTGTCTGCTCCTAAAGAGATAATTCACTAAGGAAGACTGGAGGGTTTTGTCTACTTAAATATACCTTAAATCATACATTTTCTAAAAAGTCTTTTAAATCAACATTAAAATAACACCAATATCCATTACCACACAAATTACACTATGGCAGAAAGTAATAACATTCTACCCTAGGATTTAATCATTTTATCAAATGCTTATAAACATGCCAAGGAAGGAGGTCAGAGCCTAATACAATCTTTTGACTAAACCTGTCACAACACCTTTCTGTACATCACTAATTTGCACGTGTGTGACTAACAGGGGTTACACAACAGAAGTATTTATATACTCAAATTCTGAATGATGTTTTCTTACCTAATGTGAATACTGACAGCAAAGGGAAAGTACAGGGCTACAGGTCAGGGACACTCTGATCCATCAATTACAGAACATTCATTTAATCATCCCAAGGATTAATACAGGGAGCAATTTAACATCACCTTCATCATCAAGGGCAAGGGAAAGTTCTGCGATTTAAATGCTTTCAAGGTACACATGAAGAAATGAAAACAGGTTAAATGGGAGAAAGATACCCAAATGTGGACATGCCCATCATTTTATTATAAGAAAGTGAATGATCTCTGTGTTTCTACTGTTAAAGGCAACAATTTAACATCCCCTTCATAATCAGGGGATTAAATACTAAAATACTATTCCAAATGAAAACACTACCACCATTGCTTTCAAGTTCCCCAGAGTTCATAAAATGGAACTGCAACACACTTTCATCAGAGGCCTGTCCCTTGCATTGGAATTCCAAGATAGTAATATGGGTCCAAACACACTTCCAAGTATCCCAGAGGGCTAGCATGTTAAAGAGTGGGAATGCTGTGTTTTCGCCTTGTTGGGCAGGGTAAATGATGACAAGACTATCAAAGACTTACCTGAACTTTGCTTCCACCTCCTCAGCAGCTTTCTGGTATTGCTCGGTGGTAACTTTGTAGAACTCTGAGCTCTGTGGATAAAGATTGATAGCAGAGTTTTCACTATTCAAGAGGACAACATGTGTGCAAGACTTACGATTTCAAAAACTACATAAAATCTTGTGTCTGCCACTCAAGCAGAAGGAGGAAGATTTCTTGCATGGTGACATGAATACTTAAAATAAATGTAAGGTTATCTATTTAATAATAGTACCACTGTTGGCATACACATTGTAATCACAGACTGAACATTCATGTAAGTCATCAATATTTGATCCTCCTGAAAAACTTCCTAACGTAGTTTTGAAAGACTATTTTGATCTCCCATATTTGGAATCCACCACTGCAAGACCAAAGAGCACTTGAATCAAATATGAAATTCACACACCATATTTTCCTGTCATTCCAGTGTTCCACCTAGGATATTAAAGGATCATTTCTTTTTACACTGGATATTTGTCCTCAAGATTGATTCTTTACAGAGTACAATTTGTTCTATCATCTCCATATGACCACAAGAGCATCAACATTTATAACAAATTAATCATTAAGAACAAGGGGCCAGATTTAGGTAATTTTTATTAAAAAATGTTTCCACTATTACATGAATGAACACATAAGCAATATAAATCAAGTTGTAAGAGCCAAGTAATGCCTTTCCTGGGGCAGCAACATTAAAAACGATCCATTCTGACTAGCTACTGTGAAACCTGTCTTACTGCAGGGGGTGGCCTAAATGACCCGATGAGCCTTCAGACTCCATGAAATACCTTGCAAAATGCATTGCAGTACAAAGGAACACAATGCAATGCAGTGGTCTATTGTGTCCCTTCATTCTCTATTCACTCAGGTTTCACATGCATGGTTTATTTTTTAATACATCATTGTTGGTTGGTGAGAAAATGAAAGTGAAATCCTCTTCACACCAGTGACCCCTTTGCATTTAACAGTCTGGGTTGCCCAATGACAGTCACATCCAGGTTTGCTGGATGTAGATAAAATCAATAGGTATGTGATTAGACAGCTGGCTCAGGATGGCTGGAGCAATGGACAGGTCACCATTTGAGATGATGAATGGCTCTCTATCAACCCAGCATCCCCGACGATGCTAACATTTACTATAATCTTATTTGGGCTGCGATTTATCTTTCTTGCACCTGATCAATAAAGATGAACAGAACAGTTGTAGGGATCGATTGTAATTTTTTATCATTTTCAAGCACGAAGGTGCATTTCTGACATGAAGACAATATTCTAAGTGTACTGCTTCTGCCTTTTTTAACATTGCAATGTGAGTGATGAACCACCACCAGTCTATATGCCGAGAGGTTTTAATTCTTCTATAGGTCTCAAGCTATCAAAAAGTCATTTGTCTCCTCAGATATTTTAACTTTCAGTTGTGTCACTCCTTCCGATCAGTTCCACTTACAAGGTTTTTCTTTCGTTTAGAATACACACCAGTCAGGACATGCTCTTTTGTAATGTTTGGTTGCAGCTTTTCTCAGAACCCTTCTAACAAAGAGGGCAGTAAAAAGGCAGTTATAGTGGGCCGTTAACAGTGATGAGGGACTCCCTGCATTACTATGGTGAACTGTCAAATGGGCGTTATGTTACTGAATCATGTATTAAAATGCCAGCAAAACAAAAATGTCTTGACTAATGTTTTTGCTTAGTTTATGCAATGAAACTAGACTCTCTGGACAGAGCCAGGAAAGATCTGGTTTCTGGTTCTGTTTAGGGTCCCTGAGCAAACAACCTCTGCCAGCTTCCATCCCAGTGCTCCTCACCTGTAAAATATGGGTGATACTAGCATGACTTATCTCTGCCAAAGCTGCTGTAGAAATCAAGTAAGGGGGGGCAAGAGAGCTATAAACCTGCTCAGTGTTTCCACAGACGAACATTCAAATAAAAGAACTCTGGAGACAAAGAACTGATTTGGGCAGTTCCATTCTGGGTATACATTCAAAATTATCAACATTAAATATTAACTTTCTAACAAGAATGATACACAGAAGCAAGAGTTCTGCCATAATATAAACTAGCAAACTCCCTTATGCTTTGTAACGCCAAAGTGCAGATTAAATTGCTAATTTTGTCCAACTTTCTCCTTCAATATTAAATACACACAAACGCGTGCGCACACACATGCACACACACACACACACCCTGTACCTGTGTTGCCTGCAAACCTATCATATGATTTCTTAAAGTTTTAAGCTGATTTGTGCTCCATATTTCAAACTCAGTGACCACTTTCTGACACTGCGTAAAAGTCCCCGAGAGGCAACACCATACAACAACTAAGAAAATAAACACAAATATGCCCAACATCTGTTTGCAGACCATGTTTAATTCATTAAGTATTTACTTGCTCAGTCAACAAAATTAAATTCTTATTTTTCCAATAAAGTCCATCTTGGAGAATTAGATCCTCAAGAAGCTTTCTACCTGCTACAGGAGAAAAGAAAAAGAATTGTACTGAAAGGTCACAAATGCTAAGCTAAAAGTGATGGACAGTGTTACTGGAGTTCAGAAAAAGTAGAGATCTCTTTTGACCTGAGGAAATACTTCTTAAAATGAATGATCATGCAGAAAACAAAACCCCAAACCAAAAATACTCCCAATATGTCTGCCAGCAGGAGAAAAGACAAATATGTATTGTGTATTCATAAGTTGGAAATCTATACAGTGATGAAAAAGAATGAATCAGACAAAAAGTGGGGCCAGAAAAGCAAGTTGTAGATATGATACAGCACAATGCAATTTATGTCAGTTTGGAAAAGGGCAAAACACTGAAATACGATTGGTAAACAGTAAGCTCTATTGATTAACTATAAGTGGTGGCAGTTACGTGTGGGTGGTAAAAGAGGATGAGAGGGGCAGAATGTCATGAAAGAATGCAATGCGGGGGACTTCACTGCACTGTCATATTTTTAAAAATTGGGTGGTGGGTACACAGCCAGTTGTTACAGTGATCATAAATATGTTGTAATATACACAAAAATTGTGTTACTCCCCCTCACTCCCCAAAGGAGCTAATCAACAACAAATGACTCAGTAGAGCTAAAACATAAAAATATGTGTGGGGGATACATGCTGAACAGAGTGGCTGAATGCTAAGCTATTGTAGAGTGTTCATACATTACAAAATAAAAGTTCTTTTTTTCCCAACTCTTTCTTATGTAATCATTTCAGACTTATAGAAGGGGGCAAAAATAGAAGGTTCCTGCATACACTTCACTCAGCTTACCTTCATGTCAACACCTTAGATGATCACAGTACAATTGTGAAAACTGGTAAGTTAACAATGTTACAGTACTAGAGACTTGCGGCACCTGAATTAGACTTTATTTCTCATAGAATCTAGCCCCGGATCCTGCATTGAGCTGTCACAGCTTTCTTGTCTCCTCTAATCTGTGACAGTTCCTCAGTCCTGCTGTGCCTTTGATGACCTCAGTACCCCCAAAGAACACTGGTCAGATGCTCTGTATAACAGCATGCAATTTGGGCCTGTTGGATGTTTTCTCATGGTTGGACTGACACTCTCCCACATTATAGGGAAGGATACCACGGTAGTGACGTGCCCGTCTCCATGCACTGCATCCAGGGTTACGTTACATCAAAAGATGTCTTGACTGGTGCTTGATCTTGACTACTTGATTAAGGTAAAAGTTTCTCCATAGGAAAGCTACTATTTTTCCTGTTGTAATCAATATCTTATAGGAGACTGTTTGACATTATGTAAATACTATGTTTCACCTTAAACTTTGCCATCAGTTGTTTCTGTTTTTCCAAACCATTGTCTGCAGCAAGGATTTTTGTGGTGTTCTGATGATGTGTCAATCCTAAAGGAAATCAGTACTGAAAACTCACTGGAAGGACTGATGCTAAAGCTGAAGTGCCAATACTTTGGCCACCTGATGCGAAGAACTGATTCATTGCAAAAGACCCTGATGCTGGGAAAGACTGAAGGCAGAAGAAGGGGACGACAGAGGATGAGATGGTTGGATGGCATCACTGACTCAATGGACGTGAGTTTGCACAAGCTCCGGGAGCTGGTGATGGACAGGGAAGACTGGCATGCTGCAGTCCACGGGGTCGCAAAGAGCTGGACATGACTGAACGACTGAACTGAACTGAATGATGTGTTAATTTTTAAATGACATTATTGCATATTTAGACCTCACTGATATAATGACAATCTTCAATTACTCTTACTCAATAGTGAAAACAGTATCTTCACAGAAAAAGCCTCATCTTCAAAGGGTAGGTAGCTCCAGGAAAGCATGAGATTCCCTACAACCTGGTTATGAAACAAGGGACAGGAGGCAAACAAGGAACTATGCGGGGGTTGGGGGAGGATCAGACCTGAGTCAGGCAGAGGGTGCTCTCCACCCCTATTCACTGTGAATACCTGAGAGGGCCCAGACTCCTGCCAACACAGGCCAGTCCTTCTCATTGTAAAGAGGTGAACATTCACTGCTGGGAGAACGAGCCAAATGGGCTTATGCAAGGATTGGGAAAAAGGGAGAAGGGGCCTATGAGTGGTTTCAGATGTCCCTTTCGGGGGATGTTTGAGCTCCAGATGCAGGAATTGGGACCACCTGTTTCAGAGCCATCTGCGGAGCCTGTGAAACCGCAGACTCCCCAGGTCACACCCTGAATCTCTGGGGACGGGGTGCAGAGGCTGCAAGCTTAGCAAGCATCTCAAGTGATTCTGAGCACACACACCAACCTGGGACACCACTGGGTTTCTAGAACAATGAAAGGAAAATGAAAAACGTACTACTCAGCATGCCACTCAAAGTGAAAAATAAATCAGCGTTTTGGAAGAATTATGGCAAAATTACTTTCCACAACTGAACTTTGTTTTTTGGCTGCACTGCATGTGGTATCTTAGCTCCCCAACCAGGGATAGAAGCCATGCCCTCACTAATAAAAATAAATGAAAGAAAACAAGAAGCCATGCCCTCTGCAGGGGAAGCACACACAATCTTAACCACCAGTCTCGACCCCCAGGGAAGTCCCAATA